ATGGCAGCAGCGGCAGCTGTCTGGGCAGCTCCAGACTGCCAGAGAGGTTCCAAGCAGTGATCACACACTGAGATTTTCCCACTGGCCCGGGCTGGGAGTGCCTGGTCTTTCTGGGTCTAAGAGCGCCCCGCTTGCGCGCACCTCTTTCAGGGGAGAGTCTGGGGCTCATGTCTTAGGCTCTGAAACAATGGCGCGTGTCAAAGAGTGCCGGCTGGGCCTTTGTACCTCTCAGGGGAGGTTGAGGGGCGCGCGCATCTCAGGCTCTGTAGCAGGGCTCGCGCGTTCTGCCATCCGCGTGGCTCCCATCCCCTCACAGGGGCCAGAACCCACGCAATCTCGGGTGCGCTGGCCGCTCAGGGACCAAGACCTGGTTTCTCTGCCGCACTCTCTCTGGCTCCGCGCCAGGGGAGGCTGTCCTGGGACCGGGGACTGTCCTGGGACCTGGGACCTGTCCCTAGCCACCCTGTCCCTAGCCGCCCTGGGACCTGGGACCTGTCCCTAGCTGCCCCGATTCCCACAATTTCCCCCCGCGATCTTTTGCCCTTTTGGAGTGCTTTCAACCAGTCTCCAAGTTAATGCTGGTCCCCAGACGTAGGGCACTCTCGCTGGTATTAGGGGTATTACTTTCCAACAGGTCACCTCTGGTGGCTCCCTCCCCCTTTTGTTTATCTTCCGATATCAGTCTGCCTTTCCCACTCCACTTTACCTGCACACTGGTGTCTTCTGCCCCTGTAGAGATCCAGATGTGTATAATTCTGATCTCAGGCTGATTTCATGGGTGATCGGAGTTCTTTCGTAGGTAATCAGCTCACTTTAGGGTACAGGTTGAAAAGGTGCCTCCTCCTACTTCCCCGCCATCTTGTCAGCATCTAAATGTGTCTTTCTAATTCTCCATGTCCCTTACCTTATCTGGGAAAGTGGGAAATGAGGTAGTTCATATATACCCCAATGGTCTGTGCACTAGGGTTCTCTGTTAAAAGTTCTTAGGACATAAGTTGACTTGTTTCACCCTTGGTTTCTTTTGGCTACAGAACAACCAGTTTCATCCAAGTTTCTTCAGGGTTAATTATGTATAAAATATGGGGGGATGTTACCTAAGGAACAGTCTAAAATATTTAACACATTGACTATGCATCTCTAAATTATAATTTTATCCTCTAATTCACCAATAAGGCCAGAGATATCATTCAACTGATATTTTAGAGACATGCCAACTGTTGATAAAACAAATGTTAATATTTATAGGACGAAATTGAGATTTTAGCACATATTGTTAAATGATCAAACTTGATAATTGCCCCTCCACAAGATTCTGATATGCTTCCTCTCAGAAGGTTGGGTACTTTCCCTTATGATCCATCCACTTGAGTACAAATGGTATTACCCATGAATTCATTTCTCAATCATTCTGTTTTATGTTTGTTAATTGGTAGTTTCATTTAGCTGTTATTTTCTCTGTAAATTACAAGAACTGTGACCTATGTCATAAGAGTATTAATAGATTTCACCATAAAATGAAAAAAAAAAAGATTGGATAACATCTCATACTTGGAATTTATCATATGAATGTGGACATAGAGATAATGGGGCTTTCATGGGATGTAATGGTTGGTAGGAAAAAATAACTCCATTCAAACCCTTTGGACCTCCACTGAGTGAGAAAACATATATTCAGATAAGTATACCAATTGGTGTATGATATAGAAACAAAGATTGTAAAGAAAATTCCTCAAGCCAGGTTAGTAGTACTATATCATATCTGGTCCTGGACACCAGTTTTTTATGGGGAGTTACTAGAGTCATATTAATCCATTTAATTCATAAGATAATTGTATAAACACATCAAAAATATGTATCGACATGTATGCATGTTATACATATATACATATATATACATATGGACATACATTCGCATACATATGAATGAATATATATGAATGAACTTTAGATTTGATCACATTTAATAAGTCTGAATTATCTACAGAATTTGTCACCATTACTCTAAGGAATCTCAGTTAGATGTTTCTACAATGGGGTGAATTTTAACTTTTAATTCAAATATTTTTTAAAACATTTCTGTTTTGTATCTTCTTATGTATGGATTTCCAAGTACTCCTTTTTATGCCATCATGTTTAATAAAACCTGTCAATTTCTATGTGGAGATGTGTAAAAACTGTACTAGTCAGATTTTACACACTGTTTTAGCAAACCATTCAAAAACTCAGTGGCTTCTCATACTAAGCATTTGTCATGGATATTCACGTTGACAATTATGTGGATAAAGCACACAGGGCTCAGCTGTGTGGTTCTTCTGCAGGGAGATACACAGTTCTCCAGTCTATGGATTGTGGTTGATCTGGGGCCAAGACAGAGTGTGGTGACTCCCCATGGCACATCATTCTCATGGCAAGCTGTAGGAGGGTACAGAATCCACAAAACAAGCATATGTAAGTCCAGTTATTCTGACAGAATTGCATATAATATTGATTTATTCTTACTGTGGTCTTTGTAATTCTTTAAATTTCTACAAATCATTATTATATTTAATTTTTAAGATACATAGTCACGTTATTTCCAAATAATTATTTTTCCATATTTGCAGTCTAAGAGAAGCTTGTGATTTAATTTTGTATGAATTAGAATGTAAAATTGGAAGCATATTCAACCTGTGGATTTAATCCAACAGGTGGCTTTCAATAGAAATGTCTTAAATGAAGATAGAAAATTAAAGAGAGACTACTTTAGGGGAAGTAAAAATGCTCTACAGCAGAGCATCTTAAACCTTACGCAGCTCCTACCATCTTGTTAAAATGGAGAGCCATGTGAGTAGGTATCAGGTGGAGACAGCTATTTCGCATTTGTCATAAGCTTTCAGGGTTGTTGATGATACTCTGACTTATAGAGAATTTTAAGCAACAAGGTATTCTTACGTTAAGAAAAAACAATGCTTCATCCACATTTAATTTTTTTAATCACGAAAGTCCTTCATTGCCAAATTATTTCTATATACATGACACAATTTCCTCATTCTTCTGTTCCCTCAGTTGCTTAACAAAATCTCCTTGTAATGAATAAAGACCTAATGATGGTAGCTAGACGCATATTGAAACATATTCTGGGGCCTTCCCCTAACTGGCCAATTTCTGAGAGATGTAAAAACAGTGACGATCCCAGGCTATCTTCTGTCAGCTTCCTGTCACCACCATCTCTTCTGGAAGCACATTTCTCAGAGCCCCCTTTCCTCTATGGTTCCCTACAGAGTTGCTCATGAGGCACCTTACCCTAGATCTGGAGGTCAGAAGAGGAGGATTCAATGCCTTCCATCAGCACCTCCAGGCAGGTGAGTGATAAGTGAGGGACCAGAGAATCACCCGGGGATGGTCTGCGACGGCTAGAGCATCAGCCCCCCCATCCCTGGCCCTCATAGACAGGCCCGAGGACTACGTCAATAGGCAGCCTTTATCTCCAATGGTATAAATTCTCTGACTTATGGGGGATCACCGAGGATTCACTGTTTCTAGTGTCTATTTCCCTTATTATATTCCCAGGCCTTTGAGAGAGTGACATTTAGACATTACTTCCTTTCTGGAAGCAACCCTGATTGGAAAACCTAGAGTGGCTTCCCTTTTCTATACAAACCCCAGCAGATGCCATCACCCACACTCCTGAGGTCTAATGATCTGGGGGAAAGGGAGTTAGTCAGGGGGCCGAGGAGCCTCATCCTTCTCTCAAAGTCCCCAGTGACCTACAAAGTAGGGTTGCTTCTGAGAAACTGAGCAGGTGCAGGCATCAGAGGAGCAGCAGGGGCAGCCCAGCCCCTCACATCTGCTTCCCTGGTGGTTTATGCTCTGACCTGTAACACAGTGGGCGGGTAGCTATTATACTGTAGGCAGTAGTAGGTCCTAGCATCTTCAGGCTCCAGGCTGCTGATGGTGAGAGTGAAGTCTGTCCCAGACCCACTGCCGCTGAACCGTGATGGGACCCCAGTTTCCAACTTGGATGCTTCATAGATGAGGAGCTTAGGAGTTCTCCTTGGCTCCTGCTGATACCAGGCTAACCACTTGTTAATATTCTGACTGGCCTGGCAGGTGATGGTGACTCTTTCTTTTAGAGCCCTGGACAGGACAGCAGGAGACTGGGTCAGCACAATCTCGCCATGGGAGGCTGAAACCACACAGGAAACATAAGCAGTCTCAGGATATGTACATGGAAGTCACTAGTATCTACGTAGGTAGGACAGAGAATACTACTTATTATAAAATAAGCCAACTTCATCTGCGGATGAATTCCCAATGAAGAAAGAAAATCAGGGTTGGAAAACCATACCCCCACTTTAACCTCCTTTGTCTAAATATTCTCACCTGGAACCCAGAGGAGCAGAAGGCCAAAAAGCTATGATGGAGTCACCATCTTGCTGCTTTCGATGGGTCCAGTGTGTTCATGCCACACACTCAGAGACTCTGGTATAAGACTCTGAAAGGCAGAAACACTTCAAATCTAAGAGGAAGAAGATATGTAAATTATGGGGCATTCATATTGCTTAAATACTCAAAAATTAAGTTTGTCAGAAGAATCTCCCCACCCAAACATATTCTTCTCTGGGTGTCTTAAGTCTCCCTCTTCTGGCCATGTGGAGGTTTTGAAAGTGCTTACCCCATGCTGGGCCAACTACAAGGTCTACCAGGAGGGGGCATGGCTTATGATCTAATGCAGTCCTCTGGTGGAATTCCCTTTCGCTGCAGTGAAGAGGGGGTCACATTTTCAGTCCTAGCCAGGGGCTATGTTAACTCCCTGTCTTTGCTGCAGTGTGTTGTATAAACATCCCCCAGAGCATCCTGCCAGGCCATACTCTATCAATTACATCCTTTTAATTGCACACGATGAGCAAGAAATGGTGAGGACTTCACTAACTTGCAAAAACACATGTGCTCAAAAAGTGGGATGCAAACCACACAAAAATTCATGAGGCCCCCACTCCCCGGTGGCTATGTCAGGGGTCCAGGTATCTGAGGAATGCAGGCACATCCTTGTCAAGGTAAAGGACAAATACTTGTATCTTGTACCTCTGACCACTGAGGTTGAAGCATACTACATTGTTGAGTGTTGAGTGTTGAGACAACACATTCCACACTTGGGTAAGCTACACCATTCTGTTTATCAGCGAATTTTGAGTCACTAGTTTACAGTGGGTGAATGCCAGGAGGGACCCTGTGTCAGGTTTGGGTCATGATGCAAGTGGTCCTATCACGTGGGCCTTATGAACTCTCCTGTCGTTGGGTGGTACGTGCATCAGTGTCTGGGAAGGACAGTGTGGACACTCTGGCAAGCCCAGAGGAAGACTCATAGCATAGACTTCTGGGTTCTTCGGCAAGACTTGGCCCTTCTCAAAAACAACCTATTCAGTGTTCAACAAGTAGTTCCCAGCAAAGCACAGGCCCTGGTCAACCTGTCCACAGCACATCAATTAACTGTGTGAAAGAGCTGTTCATCCTAAACCAAAAATGTCAGACACACCAGATTGTAAGATTGGGTGGAGCCTAGCATCAGTCAACTCAGGAAGGAGAAAGTATTTTCCTAATATTGGACCCAAGCAGATTCAGCAGGCAGACTTAATTTATGGGACAAGAGTTTCAGATCTCCACAATACTTACCACTCTTGCCAGACACCACTGCACGATCTCCTATTTTCAGTCTTATGAGGCTTTATATTTAATGCATTTTCTTGTTTCTGCATTCTTGTTGCTCCAGCCCTGAAGGGAGTGCCTCTCCCAAAATTAGCTAATTCCCAGAGGCAGTAAAAGACTTGCCCAAAGGCATACATTTGAGAGGCAAGCCAGACAATCCTGAGTCCAAATCCTTACTCTCTTCCTTTCAGTGAGACCAGCAATCTGTGACATTTCCTTCTACCCAAATACCCCCTGGGTACCAGAGGACAAGGGGCACACTTATGGTCTGCAGCCTGCTGAAATTTTCAAACTCTCCAATCTTATGTCTAAGTAGCTTGTTGACTTTGCTTCTCCATTACTTCTCATGAAATACACAGTAAAAAATGCACACCAGCAGTACTTCCCTCTCTCTGATCTTCTCACCTCCGTACTGCCTGTGTGGCCATGTGGCATGCTATATGTTCTGTTCCCAGGGGACTATAAATATAATAAAAACCTCTTACTGCATTATAATAGCTTTCCTGTCTCTGTTTCTTACCACATCTGATTAAAGACACAGGGATTCCCAACCAGCAAATAGAGAGAAAGGACTCCAGGTTCTGCCCAGTTTCGCAGCATATGTTGATGTAAGTTAAACTGGACAGCTCCCATATCATACCATAATGAAATAAGATGTTTAGTTAGGGGGAGGGGTCAAGATGGCTGAGAAGTAGCAGGCTGAGACTACTTCAGGTAGCGGGAGATCAGCTAGATAGCTTATCTAAAGATTGCAAACACCTACAAATCCAACGGGAGATCGAAGAGAAGAAGAACAGCAACTCTAGAAACAGAAAAGCAACCACTTTCTGAAAGGT